CACTAAATTTTTGAGGAGAAAGTGGTAAATTTAGAATAACAACTGCACGATGGTACATTAGATAGATATAAGAAATGGCACTGAAAAAATTATAATCTTGTAAAAAAAATTAAAATTTTTTTTTTTTCCATGATAATAATAGGGGAAAATAGTAAATGTAAGGAGTCACATCATAAATATAAAAGGTGAACACAAATTAAAATATTATGGAAAAGGGAACGAAAAGGGAAATTTGTTAATATAATTATTAAACACAAACACTGAATAGAATATAGAATAACAAAATAGAAGAAAAGAAGAAAAAAAAAAGGGGGGAAGAAGGGAAACAGAAAGAAATAGAATGTAGGAGTGTTGATAAATAACTTAAAATTAATAATTGCTGAGAGAACAAAACATATAAACACGTATATAAGAATGGAAAAAAAGATTAAAGGGAAAGGAAGGGCACTTAATAAGCAAAGAATTATTATTTTTTTTAATTTTATTTTTTCTCCTTCGCTTCGCTACCATGGTATATATAAATGGATAATAGTAGTAATATAAACAAGTTAAAGGGATCAAAGAATGTGATATAGATAAAAAAAAATGTTTTTTTTTTTTTCTCTCTTCTTCGTCTTCACCTCCTTTTTTCTCTTCGCTTTAGAGGAAGAAGAGAAGAGAGGGGTAGAAGTATAGTCTTCATAGAGTAGAAGAAAGAGGAAGTAGGGAACGATAAAGAAAAATCTATATTTGGTTCCTCCAAAACGAGATATAGCCTCCCTCGCCGTAACCTGTAAAAGCTTAAAAGTGGGCATTAAAACCCACCAAGGAAAGTGTTTTCTGACTCTTTTTAGAGTCTATGGAATGATAGGAAATAGACTTCAAGTATTTAGTATACTTGAAGATGATTCGTGTATGTATTGTAATGAGATTGTTTATTTTTTTTAATTTTTTTGTCTTAGAGAGTTCACTAGACTATCCAAACAAGAAAACAATATATGACAATAGTTAAAATAATAACGTTAAATATTCAAGGTCTAAATATTCCTCAAAAAAGACAAGCTTTTCAAGAATATTTTAAAAAGGAACATGTTCAAATTGCTATGGTCCAAGAGACACATTGGCGTAAACAGGATGAAAAGAGATGGACCAGCAGTTCTTATCCTTTAAAAATCTGTTCCTCTAAAGAGGAGGGGAAAAAGGGAGGAGTTGCAATATTTTTCGCAAAAGATTTAAAAATAAACATAAAATTTATGGAAATAGATTTGGAGGGAAGATTTATTATCTTAATAGCCACAATTAACGAGGAACTTTTCACCTTAATTAATGTTTATCTGCCTAATAAAAACCCCATATGTCTATTGAGAAAAGTAATAAATAAGGTTGAGGAAGTAGGTGTAGGAATAAAGATATATGCAGGGGACTTTAATAGTATACAAGATCCCCTATTAGATAAGTTCTCTGAAAAACATTCGATTTGGCACAAACAAGTTTTAAAAAATGCAAGGACTTTTAATAACTTGATGAAAAGAGAAGGTCTATTTGACATATGGAGACTCAACAATCCTGCAGTGAAAGAATTTATGTTTTATTCCTGGCCCCATAATTCATACTCGCGTATAGATCTTATATTTGGAGACTTAAAATTAATAGATAGAACATATAAAATAGAAATCAAACCAGTAATATGGTCAGATCATAATAGTGTGTGTCTGGAACTAAACAGTAATAGATTAAAGAATAATAAGACTATAACCTGGAGGTTAGATGATTCATTATTATCAAATAAGGAATATAAAGACTATATAGATAAAATGACCATTTGTTATTTTGAAGAAAATAATAATGGACTAGTGGAGAACGATACTCTATGGTGCTCATATAAAGCAGTAATAAGGGGACATTGTATAATGCTTAACAAATTAAAGAAAAAAAAAAAGGTGCAAATATACAAGATCTTTACATTGAATTATATAAACTAAATAAAAAAAACAACGATAATCCAACTAAGGATATTCAGTTAAAAATAGAGAAAATTAAATCTGAGATTCAGGAAAAAACTTATGAAAAAATCAAAATAAATATGCATAAACTTAAAGTTAAATATTATCACAAATCTAACAGAGCTGATAAAATAATGTCTAATATGCTGAAAAAAAGAAATACGACCAATAAGGTCGATAAAATAATTACTAACGATAACATCTCCCTTCTTCCAGAACAGATAGGGAAAGCGTTTGATGAGTACTATGCCAATCTATATAGTCTTTCAGTAACTACCCCTTCAGAAATAATAAAAAAATATATTAGACCAGCAAAATTGAATAAAATAACAGAAACACAGGTAAACAATCTAAATAAAGAGATTACGGAAGAAGAGATCAATATAATAATAGATAGATTAGAAACCTATAAAACGCCAGGTCCAGATGGATTTGGAAATAAATTCTATAAGACAATGAAACTTCATCTGATAGGCCAATTAAAAAATACCTTTAATTCTGCAGTTAAAAAGGGCAGATTCCCAGATGAAATGCTTAAAGCAAATATTTTACCTATATTGAAATCAGGGAAAGACCCAACTAAAGTACAGAGCTATCGCCCAATATCATTAATAAATGTAGATATTAAGATATTTTCTTTTATTATAGCTAGCAGATTAAAAGAAGTTATAAAACAGCTAATCCATCCTGATCAAACAGGTTTTGTTCCAGACAGAATGTCAAGCAATAATATTAGACGCTTGATTGATGTACTAGATATATCACAAAAGAAAGAAAGTCCCATGCTGATCCTGTCTTTAGATGCTGAAAAAGCCTTTGACAGGGTCAGCTGGGACTTTATGAAGTTTACCCTAGAAGAACTAGGTATACAGGGATGGTTGCTTAATGGAATCTTAGCTCTATATAAAGATCCAAAGGCGAGAACAATCGGTCCGGGTATTTGCTCAGACTGGTTCAAATTGAATAATGGGACCAGTCAAGGCTGCCCTTTGTCCCCTTTATTGTTTATATTAACATTAGAGGTTTTAGCTAATAGAATTAGAAATAATGAAAACATTAAGGGATTTATAACAAAACAGAAAGAACTGAAAATATCTCTCTATGCTGATGATACTATTCTATTTTTGAGCAATTCAACATCATTATTAAATGCAATGTCAGAAATTGATACATATTGTGTAGTATCAAATTATAAATTAAATAAAACAAAATCAAGTGCTATATATATCTCAATATGCCAAAGCAAGAAATAAATTCCTATCAAGAAACATATGGCTTTACTAAAGCTAAAACGTTTTTATATTTAGGAATGAAAATTTGCAGAAAGGTAGAAAGTACCATGCGAATAAATTTTATGGATCTTCTAAAAGAAACTAATAAGAATCTGAAAGAATGGAGAAAATTAGAAGTATCTTGGGGAGGAAGAATAAATATTCTAAAATCATATGTTTTGCCAAAATGGATTTATATGTTTAGAATGCTTCCATTAGAAATCCCGAATGCATGGCTGACAATGATCAATAAGGCCTTTTCTAATTTCGTATGGCGAGGGAAAAAACCTAGAATTAAAAATGGAGTACTAGCAAGAGGATTGAAGAAGGGAGGCCTAGGATATCCAAACATAAGAAAATATTATGAAGCAGGAATCATTACGCATGTAATGGTTAGTCAAATAAAACAAAATAAAGAGGAAGTATGGTGGCAGTCAGAATCAGAATCTAGCCAACTAAGAGATACTTTAGAGCTACTCTGGAGTACAAAAAAATACAACCTATCCAGATCGTACATTTTAGGACAGATCACTCCAATATGGCAAAAAATAAGGAAAAAAATTGATTTGGAAAATAAAATATTCGATTTTCAAAAATTAGAAATAATAGAATTAAATATGGAGAGTATCTCCTTAAAATTATGGAAAGAAAAAGGAATAAATATTATAAAAGATCTGATCAAAGAGGATAAAATCAAACCTTATAAAATGTTGGTAGAGGAGTTTAAGATTTCTGTTAAAGATGTATATACTTATTTTAGAGTAAAACATTATTTGGAGAAAGTTGAGTTAGTAAAAGAGGGCAAGATGTATGATATATTAAAATCAATATTATACCAGAATAAGACAAAGCAGTTATTCTCTAGATGTGTTAGAATGTTAGACCTATTGGATGATTCTGTTCCGCCTAGTGCTATTAAAAAATGGAATATTGAACTAAAAATAAATATAGAACTATCTGAATGGTTATCTACCCTACACAAAATTAATAAATATGTCCATTCCTTTGTGTTGATAGAAACACACTTTAAGTTGGCTAATCAATGGTACATGACGCCAACGAAAATAGCGAAATTTGATGTATCTAGAGACGCAAAGTGTTGGAAATGTAGAGAGGAAAAAGGAAACTATGTTCATATGTGGTGGTCTTGTAAACAAGTGATTGTTGTATGGCAGTGGGCTCAGCTTGTCATCCATAAACTATGTGGTGTTAAAATGTCTCTAAAACCTGAAATAATGTTGTTACATTACAAATGGCCAAGATTAAATAAAATAAATCAATTTTTAATTATTCACTGTTTAATGGCCTGCAAAATAATAATAGCAAGGAATTGGAAGGGAGATACCCCTTTTAACATCAAGTTAATAACAATTCAGCTGGTTTACCAACTTAAAATGGAGAAGGATCATTGCAGGTTTCTGGATGATAATTTGAGCCTATGGGAAAACTGGGAAAAAATATTACTACAATTGTAACTTCAATATCATGTGAAAAGAGATAGAGAAGTTGGAAGTCAGTAGAACTCTCGTCGGGGTGATGGATAGCTTTTGTGTTTTTTTTTTGTGTTTTTTTCTCTCTCTCTGTCTTTGTGGTTATGTGTATGAATTTGAATGCATGTTAAATACTTTTTTGTACAATATGGTGAAAAATTTGATAATAAAAATAATTAAAAAAAAAAAACCAAAACTTAAAAATCCAGGGACACGGGATCTGTCACAGCATGCTTATTGCTCTAGATTTTAGGGTTGTTATTAGGTAACAATGAAAAATTAAAGTGCGCTGTGCCTTTAGGACTCAAAAGTCTTAAAGGCACAGCGCACTTTCATTTTTCATTGTTTTTACATAGGTGATTGAGCTTTTTCACGATATATAGTGCTGCTTATTGGTATAGATTATAGTTTTAAATTCAGCGCCATAACATTACTTCTGTGTTTTATCACTTTGTTTTTAGGTAACAGCATCAGTTTTCCCAAATATGTGTATCTCTAAGTGTCAGTAATAGAGATAACCTAACATGCCAAACTAAATGAAATGGTAAAGGAACACAAACTGGTTCGTAGAGTTGACGGCCTAGTGAGCTAAATGAAATGTCTGCAAGCAGACAGAGTAAAGGTGAAGCAGGCTGAGGTCTAGGGTATAAAAAAAAAATAAAAAAAGATACACAGAATCGATAGTCAAACCAAGGTCAGGATAACAGAGATCAAGAATGGTCAAACAAGCTCAGAGAACAATAAATACAATACCCAGTATAAAAGCACTATCGGTTAACAAGAACAACGACAAGGTAAAGAAACAAGCACAACCAGGAAGTGTATGCACCCTATACTGGGTTGTGATTGGTTAGAGAGGGCTGTGATGTCACAAGTGAGTACATATCATCAAAAAGCACCACACAGACTGACACTAATATAGGAGACCAATGGAAGGGTTCAATGTCATAAATGATGCAGAATGAGGCACCAGGAAGCTAGGGAGTAGCAGGGAACAATACTAATGTCCATGTGCCTTCATGGACCGGGACCGGAGGGGAGATCAGAGATCTCCCTCCCCGGTCTGCAGGCACTGTGCTGACAGCCGGTAGGGGAGGTAGAGAGGACCCGGGAGCTCTTACCTGCAGCTCCTTCGGGTCCTCCTCTCGCGAGATTTGGAGCGTTGTCGTGGTAACCGCGGCAACACTCCAAATCTCGCGAGAGTGAATTCTAGCCCTGGAGCGCGGGCTAGAGTTCTCTGTAACCACCACTGGACCACCAGGGATTCCCCACTGGACCACCAGGGATCCAGAAATGTCCCCACTCATCCCAGTAAAGGTAAGAAGGGAGGGTGGACATAATGAATTTTTATTTTAATTAAATAAATAAAAAAAACATATAAGAAGGTTTGGGGGTCTTTTTTTTATGTGTTTTGAAAAAATAAAATTCATTATGTATGTATGTGGGCAGTGTATGTGTGTGTGTGGGGGGGGGCAATGTGTGTGATAAGAAGGGTAGGGGGCTTTTTTTATAATCACACACACACATACACTGCCCCTCATACACACACTGCCCCCATACACACACTGCCCCACATACACACACACATACACTGCCCCCCATACACACACACTGCCCCCATACACACACACACAGCCCCACATATACATACACACACACTGCCCCCATAAACACACACTGCCCCACATATACATAGACACACACTGCCCCCATAAACACACACTGCCCCCACACACACAGACACACACTGCCCCCATAAACACACACTGCCCCCACACACACACTGCCCCCCACACACACACTACCCCCATGCACACTCAAGCTGCCCCCATACACACACACACACACACACTGCCCCAAATACATTACCCCCATACACACACACTGCCCCAAATACATTACCCCCATACACACACACTGCCCCCCATACACACATTGCCCTACACATACACTGTCCCCCATACACACACTGCCCCCATACACACACACTACCCTCCCCACACACACACTGCCCCACATACATTACCCCCATACACACACACTGCCCCACACACACTGCCCCCCATACACACATTGCCCTATACATACACTGCCCCCCATACACACACATTGCCCCACACTCACACATACACTGCAATCCTCACATACACATACAAACACAAATACTGAACCACGCATACACTGCCCCCCTAACACACACACACACACTGCACCCCTGACATATACTGCAGCCCTCACTCACACACTGCAACCTTCACACACACACACACTGCTCACACACTCTCCCCCTCACAAACACACTGCACCCCTTACATATTGCACCACTCACACACACCACTGCTCCTATGCCTTACTACAGCCCCATTTCCTGGCAGACCTCAGGTAAGTTGTCAAACTGTTCTTAAACGGTTTGACTACTTACTCTGGGAGGGGGTCTCGGCACTATTGCCACCATAACCACTACACTGAGCTGTAGGGGTTATTGTGTCTGGATTATTTCTATAAATAAATTAAACAAGTGTCCCTCCCGAGATCAGGCTTTGGATCCGCCACTGTCTAGAATCCCACCATTTTGGAACTTCACCAGTACCACTTTAAAAGATCAGCCTTGCTTCCTTGATAGAGGAAGTTTGTCCCGTCTTCTAACAGCTACCCTTTCTTTCAATGAGTTAACTGGATTTCTTTCAGAAAAACAATGTTTCAAAGAAATCTATTCATCCTTTTCTTGTGAGCAAACTATTCTTAATCTCTACAATTTGCCAAAGAAGCACATCCCAATTCAATCCTTGCTTGGTGTAACAAAAGCACCTTCGTCACTGGGGTTTGAAGAGACCTGTTTGCCGGCCTCTTGTCCTGTGACTATGGCCCCTGGGGGTATTACCGTTTAAAAACCCTATTTGGGCTTATGGGGTTTAATACACTATTAATACACTATTTCTGCCCCAAGACTATGGGCCCTGCAAACAGACATGCCTCTTCCCCTCCCCCTTTTTTCTGTCCTATTGTTCTCCAGCAAGGCGTTGTCCCAGGGACACTCAATCTCCCATCTGCCCTTGCTATTTTCTGACCCCACCCTTATTTGTACTACAGCGCACTTTTAACATTGGACATATTGACCGCTCAGATCCAAGCTATCTGGGGATATGTTGGACATATAGGTTAAACATTGTATTATAAGAGTTATGCATTTTTATGTGGTTTTTGTAACAGTTTTTGACTTGTTTCCTGTACCTGGAGATAATTAAGTTACCACAACCACTTAAGCCAATTATCTCCAGGATAGTGGAGAAGATAGACCAGCCGCACAGCCTAAGTCTGTGGAACTGTTTTGGGCATAAAAGCTATGCTTGCGGTCGGTCAAATGCGACTTTCATAAAACGTTTGAAACCCCTGCTCTGATCTGGGTGATTTTTGAATATGTTGTTCACCCCGATCAGGGCTATCCAGGGATGTACTTTTTGTGGGGTTTATGTGAGTTTTGGGGGTACCTTCATGGGGTTATGTTGTTGTTTTGGGGTGTTTCTGGACTTTGGGTAAAACTGGATATTTTCTGCCTGTGGTAATTCAGTTAGTCCATTGTGTTTGGTAATTGTATCACAGGCAGAGGGGAGAGTTTGTGTACGTTAGCTGGGAGTGTCTAACTGTACAATACTGTGTTGATTGGCTGTTGTCCTTTGTGTCCTGTGCTACACAAGGTCCACGTGGGTGGTAACCTTGTGGGGAAAATGTGTATAAAATAAATGACTTTGTGCTCATTAAACAGACTTGTTCTACCTTTCATGAAGTTTCGGCTCATGTTTGTGGGATTGGAGAACTAACTACACTCTGGGGATTGCTATAATCACTATACTCCCCAGAGTAAGCTCTTGTAAGAGCTTGTTCCTGTTACTGCTCTCTGGATTTAGGAGAGGTCTGTCTACTGGAAGCTGGTCCCTGGTCTTGGGCCCAGACTAGGAGGAAGACGGCGAGACCCCAACCAAGCTGTGGCGGTTCGTGGGGTCTGCGGTGGTTATGGTGTCTAGTGGAGTGCTTGGAGCCCTCGGAAAGCACTTGGAGCATCCGTCAGCGGAAGGTACCCAGCCGGGGTGCCAGCAGTTCCATTACACTTGGAAATACTGAGCAAACGTTCTCTCCTTTCCATTGATAACAGACACATAGAACCTGCTGCCAGAAGAATTGTAGACCATTGTGAGGCTTCTAAAAAAGTTGACTGCACGGCCTGAGAATTCTTTGGATATAGCGTGATGTACAGAAAACAACCAAATATTTTGCGCTCCAGCTGACCTAAGTGAGCTTTTGTAATTATCCACTGGTTTACTTAATTTAAAGGAACACTCCTACAAAGCACATCAGCTTTATATTCTATTATTTTAGTATCCTGTTTTAACCCTAGTTCATAAAAGTGTGATTTCTATGAGAAATTGGCACTTTTATAAATAAATTATGGAACACAAAAAAAAGTGACAGGTGCATTTTACTTGAGCACACCTGCTTCCTCCTATTCAGATTAGCATTTTAGGACAATCCAATGCCTTCACGAACCTCAGAGAGCTTTGTCAAGGACAGAGTGTAAAAATGGACAACATTTCAGTAGTTCATCACATGAATTTTCTGGCAGGTACCAAATTGAAATTTCTTGAGGATCTAGCCAGAGATTTTTTGGCATTTCTGTCTAAATCATGGCATCCTTCTCCAAGCAGAATATCTTCTGGGCTTATCCAATGCTATTGCAAACCTGAATTCCAGTCTTCTAAAGAATTATAGTGATTAGACATTGGATTTTCAGATCTTTCATCGACTCAGTCTTCCTTTGGTTAGTGTAACGGAGCTCCCCGTACTCCGACCGAGTACCCTCCGTTGATGGACGCTTCCTAGCTTGTGCCGAGGACCACAACCACCGCAGACTCTGCAACCGCTGTAGCTTGACTGGAGTCTCGTCGTCTTCCTTCCACCCTGGATCAGCTTTTGTCCTCCAGGACCGTGTGGGAAAGACCTCTTCCTTCCACCCTGTATGAACCTCCAGCATCCAGGACTGTGCGGGGAAGACCACTCCTCCGAGGAGAGCGTGTCAGGAACAAGCCCTTAAAAGAGCTAAGTGATTCAAGCTCAGGGGAGCATGCAGGGCATTGCAATCCCCAGTGTGATTATAACAGCTCCCTCCAATAACGAGACAAGGCTACATTTAGAGGGATCAAGAAGAACTGGCTAAACCTTTATTTTACTTGGGACTAGCCCATATGGTCATCACATTAACATTGCTGTGAAAACTAAATAAAATCACAAGCAGTCAAACCATATCAGGCAACACACAGTGACTTATCACAACACAATGGCACATTTCCAAAT